CACCGCCAGAGATTGTTGACCAAGTCCCAGAATATGAAGCAGAGCAAATATTGCAAAGCCGCCTATACAGACGCAAGTTGCAGTATTTAGTAAAATGGAAAGGATATCCAGTAGAAGAAGCAACATGGCAGTCAGAGGAAGATGTGAAGAACGCGCCACTCATTGTAGCCGACTTTTATGCAGAGAACCCAAACGCAGTTAAATCGGTGCGAATCTCCACTTCAATTCTGATGACCCCTGACTTCCTCGAATGGAGACAGAAAAATATACAACCATCTTACATTCGCGAGGACGCTCATCCTAGAAAGGGGGTAATGTCATGAATTCCTAATATGAACCATTTTTCATTTCTCGGTTTTCCTTCGGCTACTTCCAGTACCCAAACCGGTCACATGACTCCTTACCCTGTCACACCTTCACCTCTTCACATATCACCTGTGGTTTCTCCGACTGGCTCCCCTACTCCATGGGCTAGAACAATCTCACTTCCCAAAGAAGAACCGGTCGGAACTTGGGTTTCTGTTTAGTTGCTGTCTTACTCATTCGCTTATATATCATGATGTCATACTTAGTCATCCTGCAGTATTGTACGACTCTTTTCTCATTGGCTGATTTCTTTCAGACTCCTATTCGATGTTATGTATATAAGTAGGTTAGTTAGCGTAAGTACTCCTTAGACTTAACCTCTTTGTTTCCTACACTTGTAGTGACTTAGACGTTCACGCTCAATACCATCTTGTTCATTATCCTCTTGACCGAGTCCTAGTGGTTGTGTACTCGCCTTCATCATTATTGGTGAACATTGGTCATAACACACCCCCCACATATACCACTAGCATATTCTCCATGTCCATCCAACCTGAATGAGTTCAGTGACATAAGTGTCATGTTCACTCATCCAAACTAGGAGGGGATTGTCCTAAGTACAGATTAGTAATAAGCAAAATGAGCCAAGAGCGAGTTCTTACTGCAGCTGTCCATCTGCGCTTATGAGGCGAGGCCTCATCGTGACCCAGAACATCGTCCGTGGGCATAGGATCATCATCGCCAGTGAAATATATGTTCTCTTCTTCACTTGGCACAGATTGAATGGATTGGGATTGGGACGTATATGAAGTCGATGAATTTGTGCTGGTAATATTGTGCCTTGTGACCTGCATAGTCCCATCACGATGCCCTGAAAATGTAACTGAGGTGTGCACACGTTGTTGTGGCTCTATATGTGAGGTAGTGGATGATTTATATGCATTCATACGAATGCGCCCCCGACTGTTAATTTGCTGGGATGTCCAGGGCAAGGGAACTGCCCAAATCGCACTATGCAGCTGGCCTGGTAGCCAGCATTAGCGCATACATCAGATTTATCAGGATATTGCTCACCAATAGGAGGGGGGATATCAGGCTGCATCTCTGCACAACACAGTGCCAAGTTCCAACACTACGCCTGGGCCAAGCACAGGCCTGTGAGAATTCATTAGATAATAACAGCAAATGATAAACAATTTTCATTGGCTAACTACGCTACTGATGTAACTCAGGCACCACATATAGTAAGTACCTCGTCAGCTCATTGATAAGACATGCCAGAGAAATAATTATGAACGTGGATGGAGATGACCGCTGTAGAATTTAGATTATGTAACATTTGCCAGTATTTGGGCTTAGAGAATGTATTCACCATCTGTGTGATCTACCACCTTTGCGTCTGCCTCCAGAACATGGACCTCAGTTTCAAAGCTACCCTGGTTCAAAAAGGTTAAAAATGGGAGCTTTTTTCCCAGTAAGCACTATCCCTTCCTTCCACTCTCACTTGTATTGACACTTCAACACAATCTACAATGACCACCACACGCGCAACAGATCCATCTTCAGCGCCTGCTGCAACCATTGTTGATAGTGCTAGTGGTGAGTAATGATAACCACCAGTAAACGGGTACTAAATCCCATATACTTAGATTCTCTCACCGTTCTCTTTGAGCAGTTGAACATATCAGTGCCTACTGCGGCTGCACTGACTGTTGCCCTCCACAGGTTCAGTACAAGATGCAGTTGTAGCTACAGTGCGTGAGATCACTAGGGGAACTACCGATGATATGTCTACTGCTCTCGTTGTGGCCGATCCTGCCCCCTGTCACAGGCACTCCCATTGCAGGAACTACTGATGTTACTGCTCTTGTTGTGGACATGCCAACCACCGTTGCAGGTGTTTCTACTGTGGGAGTTGATGTGCTCACCCCTGCACCTGCCATTAGTGCCCCAATTCTTGCATCTGCAGTTCCTGTTGTGCCCACTCCACCTGCCGTTCCCATTGTGCCTGATGTGCTCAATCCTGCCCCCGCTATTGGTGCCCCAGTTCTTGCACCTGTAGTTCCCATTGTTCCACCCTGCCAGGCCCCGCGTTGCATTCTAGGACTTATGGTGGCATAATGTATGATGTTCCTCCCCCTACCACCTCAGGGTCCATATTATTGGGTGACCCGCAGTCGCCGGATTGGGATTTTCTCTACTTGGTACTTAGATTTCCTTTTGTCTTACTGGGTGACTGACGTATACTTTGATTAGGCAACAAGCCTCCACGTATGTCATCGGCGTCAGTCGGGCCTCGTTTTCTAGGGTTCGTTCAGTTGTAGATGGCATCCAGTTGATGGAGGATGCCATTGACCGCGGGGATATGGAGTTGATTTGAGCAGTGTATCACCCTCGTAATCAGGATGTCTAGCCAGACGAGCTCATACCATACATCTGTAACCCACTCCCCAAAAATATGACCAGCGGTGCTAAAATGACAATAAATATCGATTTGGTGTTGCAGTTGCCTGCAGTGGATTCAACCAATGAAGGCACATGTCAACGGACATGAGGCACGCTTCAACTTAAGTGTTGCAGTTGCCTATAGTAGAACAAAGCAAGAGTTGTGCAGATTCCAGAGCATCCAACTTCGAGAGTATCCCAACCTGAGCACTTGTGATGACGCCATTGGAGCATCCGAGTTGGAAGCCGCGGAATGAGCGGCAATAACCATATTTGAATGAGGACACCACAGTCAAGCTACAGTCAAGCTACAGTATAGCTTATGCTGCGGGGACGGTCAGTTCTAAGTGTGATGAATGAATATTGAGCCAGGTTGAATGTGCGGTAGAACCATGTTGAGTTGTGCAGTTCTCGCTATCAAAAGTTTGCTGGTGACCATCCAAAGAAAGTGCAAGATTGAAAACGGAGATGGCACTATGGCATCAAAATGAACTTGTAGCTGATGCTTAATGATAGAATCATGAGTAGCGCTCAATGTACTGGATGATATCTGAGTCATTCCCACTGAAAGACGCAAACCATGCCATCCCGTCTATGTGAATGGACTCACAGTATTGTTACAGTTAGCTCAAGGGTATCATACCTGGTGTTTTGTATAGCAGCTAGATGGATTTATCGTGATACTGTCAAGATAATGAGGTTTGACTTCATAAATCTCCTATTACAAATACCCCAAGTTGTCGAATACAGCCGCTTCAAAATCGCAAACCACCTCGTAGTAGCACATGCTTCATCTCGAACTTCACTGTCAACTCATGGGCTGCCCACGACTACACAAGACTGAAGAGGAACGACTTAATGCTGCTCAGCAGATACCGAGCGAAATACTACAAGAGGTATGTTTCTAACACTGCTACACAAACCTGTACGGTACTACATACTACGAATACAGGAACAAGAAGGTGATCGGCCTGAAGATGGCCATGAAGTATCAGTCAGAAAAAGGACAAACCTCATAGTGATCTCACCCCCAAGCAACTAGCTGCCCCCAAGTATGTCTATTTTATGCTGAGCCTACCAGTACCATTGGATGTCTGAACTGCCGGTCCAAGGTTATCATCACTTAGTATTCCCTCCTGCACAACAGCCCACAAGAATGGTGTTATGTGCGATACTTCACACATATGATTTCTGGTATCACTGACTTAGTATACTCTTCACAGATGTGATATCGACAACACTCAATCCAAGCTTGTCATGATATGTGCTGAACTTGAGCCTTTGAGCCAGAGGATGGTGCATGACTTTCAAGACCACCGAGAAGGGGTACAGGAATGCCTTTCTCAACACCTTGAAACCCTAGAGCATGTTCAAGAATATCTGCGCTTCAAGACTTTGGATGCTGACAGTGATTCGAGTCACATTGCAACGGTAGCAGGTGTGATGTGTCGATCTAAGGCTATCATAATGGCTGCCGAAGAATTATGGTGCTACTCGGCTATGAGTGAGATTGACGAAGAGATGACTCTGAAATACCATCGCAGAGGTTTGTTATTCCAGACTATAGTGTAGGCAATGTAAACCTTGTGAGCGCAGTGGCTCTATCATCCCATCACACTGATAACCTTAATAAGACTGAGCTTCGAAGGGAGTAACCATTGCTTCTCATTCGTTCACTGCTTTGTTGATAACTACCATGATGTCCACTGACAGTGTAAAAAACCTACATTTTCGCTCCTTATTTATAGCTGACAGGAAGCAGCCTGAATATCAGTCCATGTCTACCAAGCCAACGATGGCCAGAGGAGAAAGTCCTGTTTCCTGGGGTTGCTGTCCATGATCTCTCTGCAGAACAGGCTACCACCAGTTGCTCAATCCGTGAAAAGGCACGAGAAGGTAGTGCAAACTATGACCTCCATTGATGGACACGCTGCTAATGTACATTGCAGAGTCTACACCGATTTTACAAGTGGGCTGAAAAGTATCATCCAAGGCACCTGCCATAGCGTATGAGAGAGCAAGTCCATCAGTGGACAACGTTAAAGCTTCTGCAGTATATTTCGAAGATTGGGCATCACTCGCTCAAGTGGTTAGATAGTGCCGTCGAATTTAGTTTGTAGTGCTGTCAAACATTATATTTTTGGCCCCGGTCACTTGTTGCTAGATGCAAATCTTTTCCAGAAGACCTGTCTGCCTTGCGAGTTTGATATTTAGTAGACATTTTGACAGTTTTCTCCATCATTCGCCCAATGTCCATGACACAGATCCGAGTGTTGACGTGTGAGCAGTGTAATATGCTCAAAACTTTTATTCCTACATATGTCCTCATAAAACTGGGGTCAGAAGAAGAACTGGAGACATTTTGGGAGTCTGTATACGTCCAGTGGTTTCAAACCTGGCCTGAACATGAAGTTCACTATCCAGATACACCACCCAACAAATTATCTAACCTGCAACAAGTATTACTAGATGCCACTACAGACCTGCCGCCAGTTGCATAAGTCATTCCCATTGTGCTTTAACTTCATGTACTCACATTTTGCATATTGCAGAGAATTCGTTTGTTCATCCAAACGATCCACTTGCATAGGACCTTGGATAAACCAACACTGCAGACCTACTTTCCCATCAAGAAGCGACCTAGGTATGTTATTCTACTCATCATCACAGATATGGACTTAGTGTGTTCAGAGCGTAGACAGTACCATTGTGCCAGAATGTTCAGATGGGAGTGTGGGTAGACGGCGTCTTCATCTGAAAAGGGGATGGACGAATGGCGAGTGCAGATCTCGAATTTCTTGAAAAATAAATTATATTAGAATTATCGAGTTCTAGAATACATCTCGATTGTTGCAAACAGCGACTCGGCCTGCGCACACAAAGGGGAGGGACCCAAGACATCAAAACGAAGATTTTGCTTCCCTACCCAATATTTTAGCCCACCACCACAAGTTAACATGTGTGCAGATACCTTTTAATCAGTGTGTGCTGATATCAGTTGTGTTGTGTTTGACAGATGCCACAAAAAAAATGGGCTACGGCGGAACAGGAGGAATTCCTCATGAGTCACTTGCCAGAATTCCGTGTTCTTGCCGCCACCAGGAATTATAAGGATTTTTTGAAGGGCATCAGTATAGAATGGTTCCAATGCTGGCCAGAGCATAAGGCCATGTTCCCTGATTTTCCAGCTGACCATATTTACACGGCTGAGGAAGAGCATGCCATAGCATCACGATTAGACCCTCAATGTGAGGTAAGTCAGAGATATGGTTGCGAAGCCAAAACTCATGAGATTCTGACAGCAACTTGCCACCTGGTTCAGATGGCAGATTAATCCTGCGCACCTACATCGCTCGGCCAGGTACAAGAGGAGTGCTAAAGTTCAATGCAGTGCTAGCTGGGGGCATCGATCTGAAAGGAACGCGCGTGCCACAAAAATTGGATGTATACTCCAACATGTATTATGAGAAAAAGGTCAAGCATGCTGCAGATGACGCGATTCAGAAGGAGCACATTACCAATAGAGGCCTGAAGCTCAACAAACTGCCAAGAGATGACACGTTGAATGTACTCAGACTGAAAGCGAAGATGTCAAAGTGAAAATCGACAAAAAATACCAAAAGTTGAAGGTGAAGATATGCGAAACAGCACCAACTGCCTAAAGTCAGGGAAGCCAACAAAAGTGGATGACATGTCAAAAATCAAGTACGTACCTTTCAGTACCGTGACATGATCAATATCTAATGAATATCCCAGGGCTATTCGCGAGCTCGGTCCCATGCTCGATCAGGATTCTCAAGTACCTGGGACATGCGACCGGAGGCTGGAAGTTTACCGTGCTCATGGGGGGTCATGATCCAAGCACAGGCAAAGTGTCGATGTTTAAGTGAGTACGCTCGAAAAATGCAAAAAAAAGTAAACACTTACGATCGATTCCCACAAGCTACCACAGTCGGAGAACTTGAAAGCAGCGCACAGTTTGACCAAGTGTGCAAAAACTTTGACGCCATGCAGAACTCCTTCCTAGAATTTGTCAAAGACGCTATTGGTAAGTTTCAAGGTGCTAGAATTGCAATACGGTGCTTACTTACCTTGAACTAGCATTTGAGTCCACATCACTGCAGGATCTGGCAGAGTCTGACGAAGATGAATCCCTGGTTGAGTCGGACTCAGATGGTTTTGACTTGGATAACGATTGGGGAAAGGGCAGAAACGACTTTGATGGCCTCTATCAGATGACTGCTCAATCGGATAGAGCTGATATGCCAGCCACTAGTAGTAGTTGTGGGGATTGCTATCAGTCTTGTGACAATGATATCGGAAATACAGTAAGCAGCGCAGTTAGAGCGTGTCGGAGTCACAGTATCTCATATTGAGTTGAACAGGACTTACCTGGTGATGCATCAACCGCTCTTCATGTTGGTGCCACTGGTAATGCATCAACCACTCTTGTTGATACCAGCAGGCATGCATCTTCAAGTTTTGGTTTCCGACCCGATGGTCTGGACCCCATTGTCACTGGGCAACATTGATTTTTCAGTGTTCGATCCGCAGGCATTCTTATCTGCAATCAATGATCCCTACTTTGACATTAGTGCCCTTGACAGTGGCTTTAGTGCAAGTCACCTCAATAACACACCTTCCCAACCGTCAGTTGAACCGGACTACCCACGTTCACCAACACCCAATCCACTGGCAGAAACCCTTCTTCCTCCAGTCCCATCTGGACATAACGATGAGATAGAAGAGAACAATGGCGAGTCCAAGCTTGCCACCCGACCAGAAGGTGCTGCTGGCCATGGAAGGCGGAAACAAGGTGCAGGTGATGCAAATATAGATGAGCCTCCTGCCCAAAGAGTGCCACGACTACGTGCATGCATTCCCTTCAATGCACGGGAGCGTGACAATGAAATTGGAGTCCCAACACGTCGTGTGGCATGACAATCTTGAACAAAAATTCAATGTGTAGTTTCTTGCTCGTACTATGCTATATTGTGTTGCTTGTAGTTAACATATATGTACCGATGATCATAATACATTTCTTGACTTCATATATGAACAACGAAAGACAGGATTCATACAAATTTAAAGTAAGAGACTATGCAGATGCAGGCAAAGACTTAGGCCTTAGGACTTAGAAATGAAATACTCGAAAATGACATCATTCCCAGGTGCCTTGCCTTCTCATTGACCAATCACACAATCTGAAACCGCCATCTAGACTGATTCTATGCTGAATGTGCCTGAACCTACCCGAATGCTACCTAATACTACATCAAAAAGGCGAGAGGCCTACCAATTGTCGAGCTGAGTAGCCAGGGTACCCCACAGGCAGTATGAGTAAGCAAGGGAGCCTCAGGTCAGAAGCAAAGTACGAAGTACGAAGTAGCTGCACACCCATTATAGCATTAGTAAGCAAGGGACATCAGGTCAGAAGCAAGGTACAAAGGCATGCCCTGCAGCCCCTGCTCAATATGGCATGAGTAAGTACTAGTAAGTGCAGGAAATGCACTGGCAAGGTAATGCATCACTGATGCATCAGCTTCCCTATTGGGATTGAACTAATGCATTGCACTTCTAGCAAGGCTCATGCATCAACAAATGTCTGCTACTTGTCCTATACTAATGTATCAGAATGACAGTATGGCCTGCTCAAAGGTACTTCTGACCTTGGACTTACCTTAGGAGCTACAGATGCAGGATTAGAAGTGTATGTTGATGCTGACTGGGCATCTCAGCCCCATCGCCACTCTATGTCAGGCTATATTGTGTTGTTAAACGGTGGTCCAGTAGCATGGAGTGCTAGGAAGCAACCTCTGATCGCACTCTCGACAGCTGAAGCTGAGTACATTGCTCTAACGACCGTGCAAGAGAGATCCTATACCTCCAGCTATTGATCGAAGAGCTGTACGAGTCACCCCCTCTTCCTACCCCAGTCTACTGTGACAACCAGGCCGCCATAGTGCTCGCATCTAACAACAAGTTTCAATCTCACACCAAGCATATTGATCTACGATACCACTTCATCCGTGCTCACGTCAAGAACAGCACATTCGCACTGACCTATTGCCCCACCGACGACAATATTGCAGACACTTTTACCAAAGCTCTACCGTGCCCACGACTTCAGAAGTTACGCGGGCTAATGAGCTTGGATTGTGCTCAAGGGGGAGTGTTAGATTCAGGAACGAAAGAGCAAGAGATAGTAAAGTGAAACAGGTATGAGCGCAACCCAAGAATGCGAAGCACGACTGCTTTGACGTCGGCCAAGAATACTAATATTGAACTGTCTATTCCTAAGCTACTGGTATATTTATTTATCATTAAGCTACTTACTATAAACCTACGAGTTTTCGTTAGAACATCTCAGTCCTTACTCGAGACTGAGATGTGAGTACCTACTTTTCCCGTCTACATAAATCGAGCTAACATACCCATAGATTATATTCTTATCAGGTACTACATTACTTTACATTGAGTCCTTACTCGAGACTGAGATATTATATTCTTATCAGCTCCTCCCGTTCGCGTTCGCTCGGCTCGCATAACTACATTATCTATATGTCAACCATGACCGCAAAGTCGAAACAAGCACAAACATGATGCATAATGTACAGCGACCACAACCATGTCCAGGACATCCAGGACATCTTCGACGTGTACGAAGCGGATGACGCCTGTCTTGCAAGCTTGAGCTTGAAATTTCATGAAAACTTTACAAAATTAAATATTTCAAGTTCACTTAATAACAGTCACTTACTTATGTAATCACTGATAAGTAGTTACTTATCATATCTCGCCCAACGTTGTTTCATCCAAGTTCCACCTCTACTCGAATACGAACTCTAGCTTAGGCTAAATCTCTTTAGATATTTATCTCTCCATGCAGGGGATTGAAATGAACAAGCTGGATTTGAAATTCAACGGCGTCGGCAATGCTACCCAGACTTCTACTTCATCCTCTTCGGACATAACGGTTACCGGGGAACAAGTCAGCCAAAAGATACCAGGTTCTCTGTCGGATCTGCCACCAGATCTTACCGGTGGGCTCCAGCGAACATCACGCTATCCGATCGCTGCCGGAGCCTTTGGGGACATCTGGAAGTGTAATCTGATGAAGCCCAGTGGGACCGTCCAGGTAAGCACAGCTTGTAGTATTTATCTACTGTGTCGCCCTGAATATTGTTACGTAGGTAGCGGTAAAGACCATTCGTGCTTTCGAATCAGATAATGATGTCTTGGTACGGAAGAAAGCGAAGGTAACGTCCTTTTCCATGGCGCGCCAATTTATCCCATACATAACGACTCGGATTAGAGAGTGCGTCGTGAACTGAAAGTTTGGGGTCGTCTTGAACATGATAGAATTCTTCCGCTCTTGGGAGTGGCAAACGACTTCGGGTCCCTACCTCTCAATGATTTGCCCATGGGTTGATAATGGAACTCTCACGACCTTTCTTGAGCGCCGACAAAGCATGTTATCATCTCAAGATAAGCTTTCCCTGGTAAACCCTCTTTCGTGAGTATTTCCATATACTTGCTGACCTATCCACACATGTCAGCTGAATGATATCGCTCTGGGATTACAATACCGTAAGTTGTCTTTCAGTACCAGAGTTTTCGAATGGTCATGCCCGCTCAGTCCACAGCAAATTAATTGTCCATGGTGACCTGGCAGGGGTGTGTACTACCACACAGATAATATACTATTCATACTCACATACTGATTCTCCAGTCAAATGTCCTTGATTGATAGCAGCGGTCGGGCATGCCTTGCTGATTTTGGTCTCTCAACGATGATGGAATTCATCGGTACCTCCTATCTCACGAGCCACATCCAGGGGCATGCTCGATGGGCAGCTGCAGAGCTATTTCAAGTACCAGAGGAGGCAGCGGCCTCGCCCAGCATCAAGTGTGACATATACTCGTTTGGTAGTATCGCCTTGCAAGTTAGTAGCTTCAATTTTCAAAGGAAAGGCTGTTTGACTTGGCGCATGCATGCTCTAGGTATTGACTTGCAAGGTACCCTACCACGATGTGAAAAATAATCTTGCAGTGATCGCACAAGTCATCACAGGTAAGAAACCAGAGCCTCCCGTGGAGTCACAAATCGCGTCCATGCACTGGGAGTTCATACAACAATGTTGGTTGCCTCCTGCGCGTCGCCCATCAGTCGGAGATATCGTAGCGTTTTTAGCATACGAACGACAAGGTCTGTCGGATGCCCATGAATTGTCTTTCCCGAAGGACTACATGTTGCCTCATGCACATCGTCTATCAGTTGGAGAAATCCCAGATGTCCAGGAGGGACAGTTGATGAGGTACGCTTGGTTTGGGCGTATGCAAGGTAGTGAAATACTAACATCCGTGATCAGAAACTTCCAAACTCTCAATGGCCCTATGTCAGAAGCGCAATTCAAATGCCTATGGAATGACGGCCAAGGCCAGTGTGGCGTTACCGAGCGTACAGCCAAGAGCATGCTGCAGCATATATCGTCACAACATCTCCATGAGCATCCGCGTCCCGACAGCCCGGTGCAATGTCGATGGCCGGGCTGCCCAGTTCAGGGGAGCCTAAGGCGAGACACGATGCTCCGGCACATCCGCGAAAGGCACTATGGAACCAAATATCGACGAGCGCACTATGGTGAATTGTAGAGCCTAACGTTGACTCTTCATCTGGTTCTCGTTGCCCTCCTCTCGTTTTTATTGTGCCTCCCGCTACTATACCCTTCCTGCCGTCGCTCTGTTTATGGGTGGATGAAACTCAGTACGATTTATGCAGTATTCTGCCTGTTACTGGTCTACTTTGAAGTTGTCCGAACATTGTACAAGCAGTTACCTTCGATCGCGGCGGGGCGCATCGAGGAGAGCTAGATGCGAATTGGAGCGTTGCACGACGCAAGCCAAACAGATAGATTTTACCGAATCACATAGATCCTGCTGTGATGCTGGCCAGCCCTGTGGGAATATGGGCGTATTTCGAATTCGGTCTTTACTCGTCAACTGTGGAACCAAAGCAAAAAATTCGTGCGATGAGTAGGGTTTAGTATCGTGTAAAATACAGCCATTGTGTAGTCAACTCTAGTTATGCAAATGCGCGATTCAAACATCAAAGCAAGTAATCAACCAGCCTCTCGTCAATCTCACGAAATAGAATAAGTAAGTAATGATGCAGCAAAGAATCCAAAACAAAAACTATATCGATAACGTATCCTTCCACCGCTCAACAATCTCCTCAGCCTCGGAACACCTCATGAAGGACCTCCCGGACGTCTTCAACGTATACGAAGCGGATGCCTGTCTTGACGCTCTCTGGGACGTTCTCCTCGATGTCGGCGCGGTTGGCTGCGGGTGCTAGGATTGTCTTTATCCCTGCGCGATGGGCAGCTAGGATCTTCTCCTTGAGACCGCCGACCGGGAGCACTTGGCCGACGAGCGATATCTCGCCAGTCATCGCTGATGAACAACGAAAGTGATGAGCACCGGAAGCAAAACCCAACAATACAACGTACCGATGTCTGGATGGATCTTCGTCTTGGTAAAGAGAGACACAAAGGCAGATAGGATAGCAGTCCCAGCACTAGGACCTTCTTTCCCGATACTCCCCTCAGGCATATGGACATGGATATCCCGATCCGTGAGGAATTGTTCATCAGGCGTCTTGGTAATCCCAAGCTCGTATGCATGCGCCTTCACCCAACTAAGCCCAATCTGCGCACTCTCGCGGATAACCTCGCCCAATTTACCAGTCAGCTGCAATCCTCCCTTACCAGGCATACTCTGAAAAAAAAAAACTATCAGCATAATTTGCATCCGAGAGTAAAAACGAACAGACGGTAGCCTCGACAGGCATGACAGCGCCCGACCCATTGCCCAAGTATCCTAGACCAGTACTGACGCCTGGTGGTGGAGGAGACACGTACATCCTGTCTTTGTGGTAGACAGGGGGACCGACGTAGTCTTTCAGGTTGTCTGGCGTGATGCGAACGTGGATGTCGTCAGGGATCTTGAGTGGCTGGCGCTCTTGTGTCGTTACAGCTTTGCGGTCACCAGATTCCTTGCTTTGACTTTCCTCTGATGTGACTTCATTTGACTCGTTGGCGGGCGGTTCTTGAGACTCGATAGTCTTGGCCTGAGGATCTGAGGAAGTGGACGAGGCGGGCGCGCTAGTAGACGCAACCAAGACTGGTTCAGGGAACACCGTCTCGCCAAGGTCGAGGATGAGCTTCAGCGCAGCCTTCCGGTAAATCTACAGCACCCCGTGAGCTATGCACAAACGATACCATTACCGCAACTCTCACCTTGTCAATATGCTTCTTCAGATTCCGCACACCGCTTTCTCGGCAGTAATACTTGATGAGGACATCGACAGTGGAAGGTTCGATGAGGACGTCAGCATCCTTGAGGCCTGATGCTTCCCTTGCCTGTGGTCCGAGGTACTTTTCGGCAATAACGCATTTCTCTTCGGAGACATAACCGCTGACTTCAAGGACTTCCATGCGGTCGAGGAGAGGTGCTGGGATTGTGTCAAGGTTGTTAGCTGGAAGACATGTAAATGTAAGTACCAGTAACACGAATCATCCTCTGGACAACTCACCCGTACAGACGAAAAGAACGCGTGACAAATCGACAGGCACATCCATACTAACAATCGTGAATATACGCTGTGCACGAGTGGCGGAAAACACTCACTAGTGATCCAAGAATCCATTGTTTTGTTCAGGGTCCAACATCTCAAGGAGCGCACTAGCAGGATCGCCATTAATCCCTCTCCCAATCTTATCCACCTCATCAATCAAAACCAAAGGATTCTCTGTCCCCACCCTCTTGAGCGCCTGGATGATCTTTCCAGGAAGCGCACCGACATACGTCCTCCGATGGCCCTTGATCTCTGCCACATCCGTCAAACCGCCCACTGAGAAGCGGAAGAATTGCCTATTAAGTGCACGGGCGATGGATTTGCCAATAGAGGTCTTGCCAACGCCAGGAGGCCCGACAAGGCAAATGATCTTGCCTTCGACTGTGCCTCGAAGCTTACCCACAGCAAGAAATTCCAGGATGCGGTCTTTGACGTCTTTCAGACCGTAATGGTCTTCATCGAGGACTTTCTGGGCGTGCGTGATGGAGTAGTTCTCAGGGGTGTGCTGGCCCCATGGTATCTGTCACGCAAGCGTCAGTAGGGACTGGGGCAAAATGATAAAATGCGCACCTGAGTAAGCCATTCGAGGTAATTACGCGTCACGTTCGCTTCCGAAGCAGCAGGTTCCAGTCCCATCAATTTGTTGAGTTCCTCGTCAAAGACCTTCCGGACACCATCTGGCATCTTCAACGAAGCGGCACGCTCCTTGAATTTCTCAATAAGTTTGTCCTTGCCGTCTGACTCCATACCAAGCTCCTTTTTTATTCCCTTGAGCTGTTCCATCAGGTAGTACTCGCGCTGACGCTTGGCAATCTTGCTGTCGACGTCACGTGAGAGTTTACTCTGGAGCTGGGCATTAATGAGTTCTTTCTTGAGAACGAGGAGGGCCTTGCGGAGACGGTCATCGACGACGAGACTCTCGAGCACGTCCTGAAGTTCTCCAACTTCACCAGAGGATACAGCTGCTGCAAAGTCTGCAAGCTTGTCTGGCTCGTCAAACACATTGGATGCAACTTGATTGATAGAGAAGTTGGTGATCTGGTCGCGGAAGAGAGGGTTGAGCTGGGCGATGTCCTTGAAGACGGAGACAATTTCAGACATAAAGGCGCGGATGTACTGGTCGTCTTTGTTGTAGGGTTGTGTTACGAGGTTGTCTACGTGAACGATGGAAATAGCGTGCTTGTGCAGGAACGAGGTTTGCACAGGACCTGAGGTGAGGTGAAGTATTTGTTGCAAAGAGATGTGAAAGACATACCTGGCAGTATCTTGGCAACATCATCTTCAGTGGGGGATGGCGAGGGAGGAGGGGTAACCGTTTGTGTCTCTTCCTGTACGTTGGCAGTACTAGTGTGTTCACCAGCCTTGACTAGCTCCGTTATCTTGATTCTACGGTGCGGATACAAAACAGCAGTGAGACCCTCTTCCTTGTCGTCACCAGTACCACTGTTGGCAGCAAACACGCTAGTGATCTGTGCAAAGACGCCGACCGGATGAACGGAATTAATATCGGTAATGACATCGCTATCGGTATGCTCGTCCTTTAGCAAGAAAGCGCCGAGATATGGTTGACCACGCTTCATCATCTCCTTGATTGCGGCAACGACAGCTGGATTGCGAACGACGACAGCCTTGTAAAAACCGGGAAAGAGGGGACGTCGTGCGATGGGTAGAGCAAGAACCTGGGGGTAGACTTCTGGTACGGATTGTTTGGCTATTGAACTGGGAGTAGGTGTCGGTTGTGGAGATGGAGATGGTGGATCGGAACCGTCGCTACTATCTCCGCCGGAGGAGGAAGACGGTGGGGGTGATGACTGGCCAGAAGAGCCTGCGGGACTTTCATCATCTGCGCTTTCAAGCTTGACAGACTCGCTACTCGAATCTGCCGCGTCATTCTCAGGCTCTGAAGGAGCTGGAGGCGGGGGTTTATTGCCTGGCCAGCGTGGAGAAGATAGAAGGGGTGACGACCGAGCCTGGGTAACGAGGGAAGTCGAAAACTGTCTTTGACTTGCTAACCTGGCAGCTATCTGAGTACCCAAGCTTTGTGATGCACGTGGAGCGGTTGTGTGCAATGTCCGAGTATGACTTGAGCGTAATTGCTTAGCGCAAGACGCGGTATTCGCCCGAAGGCTACCTGCAAAAACCATTGCACCTTCTCACCAAAGTTGACCCAGCCGCTCCTACGAAAGCAATGAAAAAAAGAGTGTGCAGGTTAGAAATACGCAAACCAGGTTGAACGGGTTCGTCGCCTCAAACTTCAAACTCGTCAGAACAACCTTTCTAAGTCGAATTAGTCAGCATAACTTAATTGAGTATTGTACCGAGTATAACCGACTACTTACGCTTAACGCCGCTGTATTGAGATACATGATACTGCCAGTTTTATTATCTAAAGCCCGTTTATCTTCCGTGCTGCATTCCTACAGTGCTCTACACAGGAGGTTCACCACTCTCAATCCCATTCCAGCCACCTTCCTCCGTGGAGGAACGTCAAAAGGCGTATTTCTGAACAAGGCTCATCTTCCAGAAGACCAAGCCCAATGGGCCCCCATCTTCCTTGGGATGATGGGCTCCCCAGACACAGCCAATGGTCTCCAGATCAATGGCATGGGTGGCGGCATTTCAAGCCTGTCCAAAATATGTGTCGTTGGCCCAGCCTCTGCGGAACAAAAGGCACAAGACATCGATGCCGAGTACACTTTTGTCCAAGTGGGCATTCGTGATACCACCATCGACCTCTCTGGAAATTGTGGAAACCTTTCCAGTATGGTTGGTGTGTTCGCAATGGACGAAGGATTTTGCACACGGAACCCTTCCGCTCCATCCCGAACCACTACTATCCGACTTCTTAACACGAATACGAACAAAACAATCGATACCACGTTTCCTGTCATCGTCGCTGGCGGTAGCGTACAGCCAAAACTCGACCTACCTCAGACCACGATGGCAGGGGTCCCGGGAAGGGCCTCACAAATAACCCTCGAATTTATCTCTCCAGCAGGTGCGTGTACTGGCAAATTACTTCCGACAGGCAAACCGGTCGACTCTGTAAACGCACACGACCAACAAATCCCAGTTTCCCTCGTCGATGCAACCAATCCCACCGTCTTTGTAACATATGCAGACTTGTCTCGCGTTCTTCGCTCTGTGTCCCCCCTCGTCGATTTTTCAGCCCCCGATTCACGGGAATTGATGGAGTCTATCCGAAGGGCAGGTGCAGTCAAGATGGGGCTTGATCCTAACACGCAAGCCCAGCCCAAAATCGCAGTGCTTTCGCCATCATGTGGCTCAGATCATGACATTGGTGTTCATGCCTTCTCAATGGGCGTCTTGCATAAAGCTGTACCAATGACAGTCGGTCTGTGTCTTGGTGTTGCCGCTAAAGTTGAGGGTACGCTTGCCTGGGATTTGACCGAGCCGATGCGTCTGGGGAAGGCGAGGGAAGGCGAGTTGGTCAGAATCAAACACCCGAGCGGCGTCGTGGAAGTGGGAGCAGATTTTGGAGCAAATGGTGAGGTCGTGAAGGCGAAAGTAGTAAGAACGGGAAGGAGAATTATGAAAGGGGTTGTCTGGTGGTAAATCTGAATCATAAGTATCCGCATATAATCATTCGATACCCTGGATAACTTGTATTGATACCTCATGACGACGCAGGTTGGTCGTAGATTACTTGCGATACTGGAGAAAACACTACTACACAGGAAAGCGCACTTTTTACCATCGGGCTATCGGCACTTGTGCAGTGTGAGAGGTCTTCTAGCAATACTTATCACTAACCACGTCGCTCCTTCAGGTCTGCAGATGCCATATGAGGTGCACGTTCTTCCTGATGTGTAAGTATGCATTCAGGAATCAGTAATATCGATACCATCTCGAGCACCCTGCGCCGCACCTGTCCTGCTATGGACATCGATGTGCGAAGCTTGGATGACTCAGTAAAGGAAGCTCGTAAAAAGGTTTAAAGGTTGGCTGCAGCATTTAAACCACGTCCCAATAGCCTGACATGATGCTGCCGCTTGTCCTGTATGATGTTCTCTCCAAACTACCAGGCAATAACTGGTCACCCAACACCGCGAAGCCGAGGTCAGTGATTCATACGATGAATGACGACGCCCCAAGCTTTGGTATCTGACCAAAGTCTATTGCACCCCCAGGTTCGCCTTGAGCTACAAGCATCTTCCATTCGTGACCGTCTGGGTTGAATTCTCAGACATTCACATCGCTATGAAAGCCATTGGCGCAAAGCCAAACAAACGCCAAGATGGCTCTGACCTCTACACCGTCCCTGTGCTCAACGACCCCAACACCGGCGCCCTCATCACCGACTCCTTCGAGATTGTCTCCTACCTCGAGAAGACATACCCTGACAAGCCCATCTTCCCAAACAACTCAGAACCTCTTATTAGCGTTTTCGACTCGGCCTATGTGGACTTGATTCGCCCTGCGGCGAGGTTCATCATCGTACGATACGCGGAAATATTGAGCCCAGCTAGTGCCAAGTTTGTCATTCAAGCTCGTACGGCGGACTTCCAGGTGCCTTGGGATGAATTTTCTCCTGAAGGCCCGAAGCGTGATGCAGAGTGGGTGCTACTAGAGAAGGGTCCAATACTGTGTACGAATGGTACCAGAAGAGTGACGGGAAGTGGATTATGGGCGACACTTTCTCGTATGCAGACATCATTGTTGGTTGTTGGTTGCTGATGTTGAAACGACTGCTGAAGGAGGGTGAATGGGCTAGGATCAGTTCTTGGAATGGGGGGAAATGGGCCCAAGTCCTTGCGGATGTTGGGAAGGAGTGCAAATTGGCTTAGAAGACTGATACGTGTAGGATATATTTCAGGGACATTATTTAAAATGTAATAATTCTTTCACTCAGTGAAAGTCACACTTGAGCCTGCCATGGCCAGTCCAGGGCAACGCAACCACAGAACGACATCTACATAATTTGCGCAGAACTCTGCGTTTCGATAGCGGAGGAAAATGAGGGACCAGCATTGCCTCCATCGTGAATTAATTGTACTTTCACGTTGTTCTTATGACGTGGAACTCTGCTCGTCCAGACCAGCTGGGACTATAAAATCATTCTCAGGGAGATGTGCAACTGCCAAACCGCAGCCAAGGATAGATCGAGACTGCCAGACATTACCGACGGTCATTATCCGACTAGCTCTCCATGAAACAATAAAATAGTTGCGAATACGACTCGGAGTCGTATTAACGAGCGACCCATGTGAGACTACGGTCATACTATTTGAGGATCGATGCGAACGAGCGCGAACTTGGTGGGAATAAGACGATGTTGTCGCCGAAAGTGTGTATTTTCACATGAAGTCGAGTATAAAGAGAAAATCAATTCAGGGGCCCTCGATTCAAGGAAAATAGATATTGATCGTTAAACTGCGAAGCGCACGCACGGAATGCCGCTAAAGATCGAAGAACTGTTCGTGATTTCGGTAACTTCGTTCTGATGGCTCTCTCGAGATCTCTCGAGATATTCTTGCTACCACGTTTTAACGAGTTCCGCAATCGGTGAAATCGTACAGTTCATCCATCTGACACCACTGCTTGTTATCAAAAGTTTCGGCTGTTGGAAATGAGGGTAGATTCAGAACTACTTCCGACAGGGGAGCCACTCGACTCCATGAAAGCACACGAAATCCCAGTTTCCTTCATCGACGCAACCCGAGCAAAAACATAGTGCCCACCGTCTTTTGGGGAGCGATTCCGTATGGGCAAGTAAGTTGTTGAATTAAGCAGATTAACCGGGGATGGTAGGCGGATTATTTGCAATAGGGTAGGCGGTAGATTAGATGGGGATAGCGTAGGAGAGAGTCTTGTGCGGTGCGAGTGTACTTCTGAGAGTCAGGACGATGATCTGCGACTCGGAGGCAACAGGATGCACTACCAGCCTGGGCGGCCAGATGCCGTGGAGACTTCACCGAATGTCATTCTGAATCTTCCGGTGGCGTTGATAGGGCGAACTAGGTGTGGGATGGCATCCGGATATGTCAAGAGGGTCCCCTTGATGCGTTCTCGATGGACGTCTTGCATAAAGCCGTACCTATGACGATCTAGTCTCTCCTAGTCAGACCATAACAGAAGGAAGACAGTCGTTCTTTCTTATGACGGTCGGTCTGTGTCTAGTGTTGCCGCGAAAGTTCGGGCACGATTTGACGCATTCAATGCTGTGTGGGGAAGGCGAGGGAGAGCGAGTTCAAGTTGGTCAGAATCAAACACTCAAGCGGCGTCATGGAAGCGGGAGTAGATGTAGATTTTGGAGCCGACTTCAACACCTCATCATCTGGTTGTCTGGTGGTAGAACTGGGTCATAAGTACCTCACGATAACCCAGGTCGGTCGAGGATTGTTTGCATGCTTGCGAGTACCAAGGAACTGCAAAAAGTGGTTCAGCTGAGGATCGAACTCAGAACCTTCTGTGTGTGAGACAGAAATCATAACCATTAGACCACTGAACCGCTTATTTACCGTTCACCTCGAAACATCAAGCTTGTCAAGCAGCTAAGCTTACCAAAATCCCAAATCATGGAAATCGTCCTCCACGCGTTATTCACAGGGCCCGGGCCATGTCACTGTGGTATGTACTGGTCTAAAATCCGTTGAACGGGGCACTCCACTGTATATGCGCGGATCATAATAGAACTTCCCCACATGCTCATGGCAGAACCTCTTTCATGTTTCCAATTCGAACTTACATTTTCGCGTATCGCGTACTCGACGGCGCTCCCAAGATCTCCAACATTTCCCAGCCGGACCTGACATGCATCACAGAGTTTGCGCAGTGTGTCACTCAGTACTTCGCTCCCCTGCGTTACTCATATCGTCTTATACCCCCAAAATATAATGCAGTATCGTACAAGCACGAAGTCACAAAGGACTTGCTTGAACGAATCTGACTTGAACTCCACTCCTTCCGATACCCAGTTCGAGCACCGAGGGACTTGGTTCGTTGGGAGACCTCAAGTATATGGTTTCAGCTTGCCACTTGGTGGGCACCTACTGCCAGTAGTGGTGTAACAATATAAGTATTGGTCGGTCTGTCCAGACCTATTGAACGCGTCTCTTTCAAATCTTCGTACGTACGTCCCACGCGGTTCTCGCATGCCAGCGCAAGCTCAAACCCACCATGACACCATCAATCAGTTGGTGCCTGCGCCTGCTCTTCGTCTCATAAAGGCCTATTTTGCTTTGGGAATCCTAAATACAAAGTGTCTTGACACGGCTGTGCTCCATCTGCTGGCATTTCGTACAACCTCTTACAACATGTTGTCATGTCCCCGTTCTCAATGATATAATGCACTCCGCATTAATTCCATGTCTTCTCTGCCCTTCCTGGTGTAATCTTTTCTTTGTCGCTTGTGATTAACAGTTGTCGGGTACTCTGCAGGTGAGGGAGAATTTTTTTTTGTTCGAAGCGGTGCTGATATATTACAAGGTGTAGCTCCACCACTACTGACTAGGTTCGTACATTTACAGTCCACATATTCTGGATTGTTTATCCGCCGACCCTGTGGTTCTGCATATACTCTCTCCCTGAAGTCCCAGGCGCAACTATTCTGATAGAATTGCCGACTACTTCGAAGAAAAACCCCATTTCTAGGATATAAAAGCAAGGCGATTTCCTACTGCCAGTATCAGAGCTATTATTCGAGGTCCCCCTTGGCGCACCCCATATTACCTAGCACAAGCCATGCGTTTCTCATTCCTCCTCGTTGTTGTTGCTGCTTTGACAACATCTATCTCTGTCAGTGCAGAGCTGTGCCTGGCTGAAAACTACATTTGCGGCAGCAAAACCAGCCCCAACTTAGACTGCTGCCCAGGTCTTACTTGTAGCCCGGGTGTGAGTACGAGTCGTCCGCTTTGCATCCGGGATTCAGCCCATGACTCACCCTTTCGCCTTGTACCAATAGATACTCAGGGGCTACTACACCACAGACAAGTATTGGGACTCTATTATGTAACGAGGCACGAGCGAAAGAATAGAGTAAGGTCTTCGACCGAACGGAAGACGCGGCACCGCTTCTTGTTTCCGTGCCGCGACCATCGTTCGTCGTTGCGTAGTTCACTCTCCTCCTCGTATTTCTTTTTCTAGAACAAAACCATACTTAAGAACTTTTTAAAAAAAAACCAAATCACTCCATACCCACACAATAACTATCATGGTTGATCCAACAACCGAAGCTTGTCCAGACTACGCAGGCGCACTTTACGCCGGCATACGCACCGACTTGACAGCAGCCACAGGACAAACAGAGCAGGAAGTCATAGACCGCTTAGTAGACACCTGGAACACAGGACACGAAGAGAGAGTCCTCGCTTGGGAACAACAACAAGAGAACGAGGCACTCGCAGTTGCCAACGCTGAGAGAGCTCGCGAAGCACAGGAAGAAGCAGAGCATGCTCTACAGGAGGCGGAAGCGCAGAAGGAGCATGCAGAAGCAGAAAAGAAGAAACCGAAAATGAACGGATTCAAGGAAGCCTCAACAGTAGGAGACTTCTTGGCTCCCCGTCCCTCCCAATACGCAGTTCAAAAGCTCACTAATTTTGAATACATAGAGCTATGGAATTTTTCTCCCGACGGATGCAAGGAAGCCCTCAAAACTTCGAAATCCGTCGCAGACGACTACGGTCTAACCAAAGTGGACGACCAGCTCACCATTCGTCCAGCATCAGCCTTCAAAGCCTCGAAGGCAGCACTAGCAGATCATGAACTACCTTTCTCAGTTTTCCTACGAGCGAAGAACATGTTCCTCGTTCAAATCAGCCAGGCCAAATGGCCCCAAACCCACGTCGACGCTCTATCACTTTTCTTCTGGCGTCTCGAAAACCACGCGATTCGCAACCACAGCGACATCGGAGACATGGTTATCCTTAACTACGCTTCGAGGGTGCGCCATGACTGGCACGACTGCTTGAAGCGAGACGAGGGTTTCAATATCGGGAACCTCAACGAGACTCTCTTGTGCACAATTAGCGAAGAACTATGGGACAAAGTGCGATCCCGAACCCTGACCTTGGTACGTGTCGCACTCCCCCCTACAAAACACCAACTAACCACACAACCCTTCCTACCCATATAACCACTCTCGTACTCACCCACAACCCACATACGTGGATGCCCGCGATGCCACTCCCGTGGATGCCCATTGCCCGCACACATGCTCACGCGGATAATGCACCTGTCCATCACATAGCCTTCGAGCAAGGACTCATCCACATACCAGAGCAGCTTCCGAAAATCGAGCTACCGTGACACGCGGAGCAATAATCATCGGAACCATGACTCACGTTCACGCTCGCCCGTTCGTGGTGGAGGAGCCCAGAAGGGCAGATCATCTTCACCAGACAACACCCGGGACAAGAGCCGTCGTGAGGGTTTTTCTCGCGGCGCAGGCTCACGTGGCCGCTCAGCCTGTGCCGTATGTCTGGGCCGCTTTGCACACGACATTCGTCACTGCAATTCCAGCAACCTCTGGGATGGATCCAATGCCCATTGCCGTCGAGCACAGGACGGCCGAATCATCAACCCTCAAGGACTCCCACTATGCTACAAATGGCAGCGCCCTGAGAGTTGCGCAGCCCCAAACCACGAGTCATCCCACGAGTGCTCAGGATGTGGAAGCAAAGACCATGGAGTGCAGAAATGTTCTCGAGTCGAGAAAGCATGAGGCATGCACCCCATACAAGGCCAGCGAGTGGCAACGTCTCCTCAAAGAGACAAATCTCCTTAGTAGATATCCATCTATACCTAGATGCCTGGTCAACGGATTCTCCGGAGGAATCCCTCCAATTAC